AAATATGTAAGAGGCATATGGGTCTAAAAAGGCTTGTCCAAAATGGTAATGTGTTGCTGTTGAGGTGCTTATTTTCATCTGGTCAAACATGTGCATTTGGCTCTATTGGGGTGAGGAGTAACTATGTTCACAGGGTCGTATTTCCCTGCCCTAACCCACAGTTGCTGTTGTATGTGCCATATAAATCTGGGAAACACAGGAATGACCCTAGTGCAGGACGCGTTGATTGGATAAAGTTATGAATATTCGACTTCTTCTTAACCAATATGTTTTGTGAAGTATGTTGACTGAGTGATGTTTGTCATGGTTTTTCTTTTCAAATCAATTTGGTCGTAGCGAGGGAACATTACAACCAAATTTGACAGATTTGTTATCTGGTGCTTATTTAGATTTGATCAGACGATGATGTTCAACCCAAATGGAATTGGGTCCAGAAACTTGATTTTCGACTTCTTCTTAAAACGGCTTTATGGTTTCGACCAAATTTGGTACGTATAGTACTTAAAGCTCGATGATGAAAAAACAGAGTTCGCGCAAATCGGTTCTAATCATCATTTATCCTTCATATCTGTTAGTAATATCTCAATAGGTAATTGTTTTGTTAACCCGGTTAATAGTGTTCCAACTTCACAAAATTTCCTCGACGCTGACTCGACAAAACTGTTAATTAACTCTTTGGTGACCTCACGCCTCGACTACTGCAACTCGTTACTCTACAACTCACCAGCATATCAAATTAATAGCCTACAGAAGGTTCAAAACAAAGTTGCAAGAATTGTTACAAGAACTAAATTATACACCAATATACCCCCGTATTGAAAAAAATCCACTGGCTACCGATTAAGACCAGAATCGATTTTAAAATTCCGATGCTGACCTTTTGTGCTTTGTCATGTGATGACTCTCCTCTATATAATAAAGAATTAATTAGCCAAACAGAAATATTCGTCCCGAAACTAAGTACCTTATTAAATCAGTAACTGCAAACTCTTCTTTCGATAGACGCTCCTTTGCTTTTGCGGCAGCAAAACTGTGGAATTCTAATGATTTTCCTATAGAACCCAAGCACTGTGCATCAACTGACAGTTTTAAAAGGAATCTTTTTAGAAACGTTTTCTTTTAATTTTTGATCGCGTACTCCTTTTAACTAGTATTTTTCTTTTAATTGACCATAATGTTACCAAAGAGCAGCTTCGGTTAGATTTTAGTACATTATCATTATTATTATTATTATTATTATGAGGGATGCTTGTTCAGATTTGTTCAAATAGAGTTGTCAACTTTTGTTCCTGAAGATGTATTTCAGTTAAATTTAGAACCTATTTCCAGGATTTTGCTTATTCCGATTTGTTCAAATGAATTACGGTCCATATTGGCAAAGCTTTTAAGAGAACATTTGTCATTCAGATATTTTTGTCATACCATTATTATACCCATTATGAGTGTGTTTTAAAAATATTTTATTCTCTTTGGTCCTATCAAGGAAATAACAATGAGTCTCATTATGTAGACATTCATATTCACCCTCAGAACACATACTTTTAGCCTTTTGTCTCATGTTAAAGTAGCAAAGTCTCTAACTCAATATCATCCAAAATCTTCGACATTGAAAACACGATTTATTTGTCGGTTTAAATCAACATTGATGTTGTGATCTTACCGGGAAAAGATGGCCTTCAGATATCCAATATTTAAGACAAAATAAACATTTTACAATTGGTACACGAACCGTGTACCATAATGCCTTTCAGCGCTATTTGTAATAAGGGACTCGAAAAACGAGGCTAGGCATATTCCACAAGTCATGTCAAACGGTGACGCTATATTCTTATCTGGAGAGCATGCCAAATAAATACTATCGGCGTAGACTTGAATAACCAGACGCTAGAGATTGAAATTCGATTGAGAATACTGGCGTATTTCGCCGAACCTAACTGATTAGAAATTACAGTAAAAACAGAAACGATTGAATGTAAATCAATTTATATACATTCATGGTACATTATTGTATGCGTTGCGACCCATTTGTGTCAATTTCTAGGTCCCAAATATTAGCGACATAGCTTCTTTAATGTTAATAAGATCTAACCAGTGTATTTATATAATAGAAAGCAGCAGGAATAATGTTGAAATTGTGGGATTTATACTAAATTCCAAATCCTGAGATTTTACATCCCGATTTATATATTACATTCGTACATGGTACATAATTTATAGACCTATGGAAGATTTTCGGGAGTTCAGATTCACAGTCTTTCATGTTTTTACAACGATAATTTAAAACCGGTGCAGGGTTTGTCTAGAAATTTTGCTTGATCACTAAAATATAAATAAAACCTTTCTTAAAAGGATGCCAACAACACGTTCATTATCTAATAGCTTTATTACACGCTCACATTATGTTACTGTTGTCACCATGGTTCATCTTCCGTCTACATTATCCCGTTTGGTGCAGAAAAGTAGAACGTTAAACACTACATGTATTTCATTTCTGGGCCATCAGTCGGATCACAATTCTTGTAAACGCTCTACATAGTTTTTTTAGTTGAACTTCGGCACTTATATTCATCCTATACATGTACAATGTTTGTTGTCGTCTAATTATGGAAGCTTATTGTGGCCATTTCATAATCTCGACTTCTCGGTGAGAGTGTGAGAACGCGAGGAAACAGGGCGAGAAGGCGAGGATCTCCCCAAGAGAACACGAGGTTATTTTGACCTCGACTTCTCGCTCCCTCGCGTGCTCGTCTTTGAAAATCCTCGCTTTCTCGTACTCTTGCCCTCGACTTCTCTCTCCCTCGCCTTTAAGTATTTCTCAACCTCTCGCTCCCTAGCTTCGCCACAGTCTCGACTTCTCGCTCCCTCGCCTCGGAAGTGCAATGTATGCGCATGTCCACTGACTACCGCACCGGCATTGATATTGAACATGGATTCAAATAGACGGAAATAATTGCAGTTCTAGAAAGTTTAATAGTCCTAACCAATTTTAATCTGTTCTTGCACAGACAGTATTGTATTCTATACTCGATTTTAAGTCTTCAGTCGAACCTTTCTTTGCTCTCTAACCTCATCAAGGTTCATCTGTATTTTTCATGCGTTGTTCCGGCATGTCAGTGGTGTAGGACGTATAGTCGTTCGAATGGGATAAAACAACCGAGGTCACGTGTCCGGCATCTAAATGAAATGGGAGCTACGGAGGCTCAGCGTGTAGGACGTTTGAATCTGTTTTCGATACGATTAATCCTCATAACGGTATGAATAAATGAGATCAGTTTTTCCTTAAATATTTATCACTTTTCTATCAACTGTTTTTACAGTTTTGCCCAAGCAGTAAAAATACATAACCTTTCAACACAAAATATCCACCATTAAGCTTACAACTTACAAGAAAATACGAACGGACCGGCGGACACGTGTGTCGACAATATACGACCACGTTCAGAACAAGCGGTTGTCATGCAAGATACGTCCACATTTTGAAAGAGATAGACTGTAACAATATTAAAAGGGACCATGAGCAAATATCGAAAGGAACCGAGATCGTCGGAATATAAACACATATTTTAAGTTTTGTCAAAATCGAATAAAAATTGTCACCTCTAGAGTGTCCACAAGCCAAAAACGTGACTTTTCGAAAATCAGGGGCCATAATCCATGAAGTTACGGTCCGATACATGCCAATATCGACAGGTACCGAGATCATTTGGATATAGACCTATATTTCAAGTTTCGTCAAAATCGGATAACAATTGTAACCTGAAGGGTGTCCACAAAATATGGACAAACGGACTTCCGGACTGACAGGGGCGTCAATATGACCAGGCGCTAATCAAGGGGGGGGGGTAGGGGGCCGTGCCACCCCTCCCTCAGCCCCAGTGAGACTGGACATCACTGTGCAGACCAGCAATGGGATTCCCAGATTTTAGTTTCTGGTTAATGAGGCCGCGACGAAGACTCTGGGGATTACACCAAACCACTAATGCATGCGGCACTCTGATGATTACCTTTTGCTCCAATGTATGCACCCACCCCCCTCGACAAAATCCTGGACCCGGGCCTGATTTGACTAATAATAGTATTAAAGATTCTTATATGGCGCTAAACTCCAGAAGAATTATATGTGTCTACTCAAAGAGCTCACAAAATAAGTTGGTCTGTCAGAACTGTCAAACAGGTCTTTAAACGTGATTTAAATGTTGTTAGTGACGCGGTATATTTGAGAGATACAGGTAATGAATTCCACTTATGATTTCAGTTTACATGTAGGCACAACTAAGTTTTTGAAGCCTATGTAAGTGTTCACTTGAGACGACGCAGTATAATGTTACAGTAGTCTAATCGTGATAAAATTAGCGAACGAGGAGTGTAGCTGTACGAATATTACTAATTTTCTTGATATGATAGTAACATGTTTTAGTAAGTTGACTAATCATGCTGTTGTTAAGAGACATCCATGATTTTATATTTGAGATGCATGTTTCAATGTTCTTAAGAAGATTGTTGGATTAATTTATTACGGAAAAAACTATCAAGTAACTGGGTATCATCGGCATACATATGATGGAAAATACTAAAGTTTGTTATGATCTCTCCAAGTTGACTAGTATAGAGCGTAAATAAGATGGGACCCAAAACGGATCCTTGAGGGACACCACATTGTAGGATCACTTATGTTGAATAACGGTTTTTCACAATTATTGTTGATTGAGAGATATGATGAAAACCACTTCAGCACAATATCATCTAGTCCAAATTCGTCATGAAGACGGTTTATCAATACAACTGGACCAAACGTGTCAAACGCTGCGGAAAGATCAAGTAAACCAATAAGACAACATTGCCATTATCTACATTGATGTTAATTTCATTCAAAACATAATTTAATACCAAAAATATCTGACATCTTCCGATTTATATGTCTCAATGAACAACCTTCCATACACTCAAAACTGTACCCCAAAGCGCCTCCCGATATTCGCTATGGAAAAATAAAAGAGACATTTAGACATTTATAAATACATTATCACATCAAATATATACAAATTAAATACAAATAAACTTCATAATACCAACAATAGGAGCAATACATGGATGACAAAGCACGGTTTACATTAACATTTGAACTACAATACATGAGGTAGCAATATCAATATTCCTGACAAAAAATAACAATATCTAAAAAACATCACTTTAAAACATATAAACACCTAACGGTATATTTCACCAGCGATATAATTCCCTCCTTGTTAAAGGAATGTTTGTTTCTGGTGTATTCCACAAACCAAATAAAAAGAGGTAAGTGGTAAAATTTTAAAAGTTCAGTCCAGGGGCTAGTTCTTCAGTTCATTTATAGAACGTATATATTAGAGGCATGGACACGTTCCCGCCCCCTCCCTCCGCCTACGATTTCGGTTTCCAGTAATAACTGATCCCTGTTCTGAAAAATGAATCTGTCTGAAAACACTAACCAGTTATGGTTGTAACCCGTTGTGATACTGAATACACACTGTAATTCAAATAAACACCTTAAAATCCACATTTCTTCCCTGAGAATCTATCAGCATGAGACAACACTTCCTCTATACTTCAACAATATAATATGTACTACCCCTTTACAAATCGCCACGATATATATCGTTTATCGCTAGCATATACAATTCTTCTGTTTCTTTGCCACCGTGTTGTCATTTCCTTTTCTTTTTTACCCACATAGCAACACTTATGAAATTCACCGGGTCGCCTCTCAAAACATTTGTTGAACACAGTCACTTTTATATCGGTCCCATGTTTTTTTAGATGCGCCTTTAACCTTTGCCCATACCTATTCTTTTCACCCACAGGGACTGCTGCTAGTCTATTGTAATGTAATTCTGCATTGCAATGAATTCCATTTTTCCCAAACGCATAACCAATAGAACAGCATGACATGTGTGTAGCTGAAAAAGATAAAAATTGTGAGTATACTAAATACAATCTAAACCATAAGAACGAATGGCCGTTCTCGTAAATATGTCGATTATAGACATTGCGGTATTAAGGGGACGTTTTCTCTGTCACAAAAATGAAACAAACTATTTTCATGCCAACAAGTTTATTACTAAACTCTATGGTGTATTATGAATGATTAACCCACAGCATCTGAAACCATTTCACATTTATTTTAAAGGTCAATATAGCCGCAGCCCAGTTAACATTGATGGTTAGATTTACGTAAAGTTTACGTCATTATGGTTAGATTTTGGTTAGCGTCCAATAATGGTAAAATTCTTTGGTTAAATTTACGTTACTTTTACGTCATAATGGTTATGGTTACTTTTACGTCAGAAAATGACGTAAATGTAACGTAAACTTTATGACGGATTACTAACCAATTTTTTTCGCTTTAAATACTTCTTGATTAAATAAAATTACAAGTGTGTGCACATTCTAACAATTGATAAATAGTTGGAATTCAGACATAATAATTATATATGTATTATTGGTTATAATTCTAACGTTATTCTAACGTAAATTTTACATCAGGTTTCTAACCGTTAGTTTATGGTAAGTTTTCTGACGTAAATCTAACGTTAGTTTTCTAACGTTAATATAACGTTAGTTTTCTAACGTTAATATAACGTTACTTTTATGTCATAATTTTAACCGTTAATTTAACGTTAGTTTTCTAACGTAAATCTAACGTTAGTTTTCTAACGTAAATCTAACGTTAATTTTATAACATAAATCTAATGTTAGTTTTCTAACATAAACCTGATATTAGTTGTATAAAGTAAAACAAATGTCAGTTTAATTTCATGATACTAACAATTAAATTACTGTCATTTTTTATCCTTAGTTTTCTTACGTAAACAAATGTCAGTTTAATAACATGAGCACCATTTGTAATGAAGCGACTCGATGAAGAAGGCTAACCATATCCCACAGGAGAATACTGGTGTGGACTAGAATAAGCAGACGCCAAAGACTGTCATTCAATTTGGGCTTTTTGCATATTTTGTCGAACATAATTGATTAAAATATACAGTAAAACCAGATAAGACTGAACTTTATTCAGTTTATATACATTCATGTTATATTATTATATGCCTTGCTACCCATTTTTGTCCATTTCCAGGTGCCCAACAATAGAAATGAAATGGGGTTTAACGTCCTACTGTTCTGCTCCGAACTGGGCTAATGAAGACGGGCATGTGCCATACAGTGTCCTATGAGGGACATTTTGCCCGTACAGCGGCACTACGACCTACTCTTATATCGAATTCCAACTGTCAAGGGATCTTTTACGTGCACACTAATGTGTCAACAGGACCTCAGTTTTTCATCGGATCCGAACAACTAGACAGGTGTCCTTATCAGGCCCTACGTCACGCATCACTTTCTCGGCCAATGCAGGGATCGAACCTTTTAACTCCTTTAAGAATTTCAGCCTGTAAGCGACACATAAAGAAAAAAAGGAATGAATGAATGACCTACTCTCATTTCGAATTCCAGCTGTCAAGGTTTCGTTTACATGCACATGCAACATGAGCACAAGATCTTGATTTTTTGTCCTATTTGAAGGACTAGACACTGTCCTACATTACAAACAAGGGGAAAATTCTATACCAGGATCGGACCCCTCGTTAGTTAGCCAGTGTGTTAACTTGAAAGTTAACCATTAGCCATTCAACCACGCCAGTGTGCTACAAGGGAGTTTTATCCGGACAGCTGTGCTAAGGCCTACTCATATATTGAGTTCCAACTGTCAGGGGATCTTTAACGTGCATGCCGATGTGTACATGGGACCTCAGTTTTTCGTCCCATCCGAAAGACTAGAAACCTGTGCAGTGCACAAACACATTCTCCTTATTATTCCTGTCTGTGACTACAGTAACTTGATATTGTACACATTGGAGTGCACGTAAACGATCCCTTGGTAGTTGGAATTCGATATAAGAGTATTCTGTTGTGCCGCTGCCCGGGCAAAATTTCGCTCATAGCACACTGTATGGTGTAGGCCCATCTTCATTAGCCCGGATTAGGAGCAGAACAGTAGGATGTTAAACCCCATTTCATTTCATTTTGTGTACATGGGACCTCAGATTTTCGTCCCATCCGAACGACTAGACAGCTGTCCTTGTCAGGCCCTCTGTCCTGCAACACTGCCAAGCAGAAACCACATCGGAAAATCCTGATGAACACTAGCCAGTCAGTGGCTCCGGGGTCATAAATGTAGTGCCACAAAAAAAAAATTTGCAGTTCACAAACACATTCTCCTTACTATTTGAGTCTGTGACTACAGCAACTTGAAAGTAGTCCAATTAATAGCCTTTTTTATGTGGTTTTGCAATCGAAATCAAACCTGAGAGGGAAAACAAATAATGATAATACATGAAAAAGTGTGGCACCATCCAAAGGGAGAGTGAGAATGAAATGGGGTTTAACATTCACTCGACACAAACTAGGTTATTTCAGGACTAACCGTAGGGGTCTTTAGCAGTGGGAGGAAACCGGAGCACCCAGAGAAAATCCACGGGGTTGGACAGACGTCCCTACTCCTTGTCATATTCAACCCGGGAATGGAACCCATGCCAGTTGACTCAATGACATACCTTATGATACAACACGCATGCGCTAAATCGATGGACACACTAGCCGAATCGTTCGGCTGAATGGGTGGACACACTAGCTGAATGCTTCGCCCGATTCAACCTGTCGGTTGCATCACCTTTCACGTCACATGATTAAACATGGCGGCGTTCTGTGTCTTTAATCTATCATGTGACTTCTCGATATGAGTGGTGATTGGCTAATGAATTCTATATTCGGCCGAATGCTTCGGCGAAGCGAACACACCAGGCGAATATAATTGATTCGGGCGAATTATTCGGCCGAATGACAGTGGACACCGAATCATTCGGCTAGTGTGTCCACCGCCTAACCATTTGTCCATCCGACCCTCCGCCAGTGCGTTACCAGGGAGTTTTGTCTGGACAGGAGTGCTAAGGCCTACTCTTATATTGAATTCCAACTGCAAGGGGATCTTTAAGTGCATGCCAATGTGTACATGGGACCTCAGAGAGAATGAAATGGCATTTATCATCAACTCGACACAAACTAGGTCATTTCTGGACTAACATATATAGTTTAATTTTATTTCAATAATTCGCGTGCCCGTAGGGGTCTTTAGCAGTGGGAGGAAACTGGAGGACCCAGAGAAACCCATGAAGTTTGACAGGCGACCTTACTCCTTGTCATGTACAACCAGGAAATCGAAACCACGCCAGTTGACTCAATCATACCTTATGATACAACGCGCACACGCTAACCATTTGGCCATCCAACCTCGCGCCAGTGTGCTACAAGGGAGTTTTGTTTGGACAGCAGTGCTCAGGCCTACTCTTATATTGAATTCCAACTGCCAGGGGATCTTTTATGTACATGCCAATGTGTACATAAGACCTCAGTTTTTCGTCCCATCCAAACGACTAGACAGCTGTCCTTGTCAAGCCCTCCGTCCTGCACCACTGACAAGCTTTCTCAGGCAACACTGTGAGCGAACCTGTGACCTCCAAGCAAGCCAGCCAGTGTCTTATTCACTTAGCCACTGTGGCAAAGGGGTCATAAATATAATTCCACAAAAAAACCTGTGCAGTTCACAAACACATTCTCCTTACTATTCGAGTCTCTGTGACTACAACAACTACTCGAAAGTAGTGCGAACTGTAAATTTTATTTTGTTAAACCATCGTAAGAAAAGAAACATATTGAATATGCTTGTCAATATTCTTTCTCTGTCAGAGCAGCTAAAAGGTGAAATTGTCTTCCAAAAACTCTTTGTGAGTCCTCTTCCATCCAAAACTTAAAAAAAAATTATTTCAAAAATGGTGTTGAGAGAGAGAGAGAAATGGGGTTTAACAAGAGAGAGAGAGACAGAGAGAGAGAGAGAAATGGGGTTTAACGTCCACTTGACACAAACTAGGTCATTCGGGACTAACATATAGTTTAATTTTATTTCAATAATTTGCTTGCGCGTAGGGGTCTTTGGCAGTGGGAGGACCCGGAGAAAACCCATGAGGTTGGACAGGCGACCCTACTCCTTGTCACGTATAACCGGGGATTCGAAACCACGCCAGTTGACTAAATGACAGGTCGTCACCATTCGGCCATCCAACCCCCCAAAAATGGTGTTGAAATGGGTGTTTTTGTGAATGCGCTTAGAAATACTCATGTGTAATGAAGTGCTATAATTGAACCATAATAATAATATAGTAGGCCTAGTGGACTCCTCCGTCTCATTTTGGTTGAATGTTTGGAAATTTGATGGCTAATTAGATTTAGGACACTCTGGCATATTTTCTAGGCTTGGCTTCATGTGGCCTGTTTTCCATGCATACAAGAATTAACCAATTAGAAGTTAAACAAAATAAAATCTGCTCCAAAATATTACAATACTTTTTTTTATTTCATTGCCCAAAACACCTTTACAGCCTGAATGTTAATTTTGGGGCAGCGTTTAACTGCATGGGTGGTAATTGAATTTATTAAATTGACTAACTTTTGCACAATAAGTAAATATAAATTATCTTAATACCCCAACTCAGACAAGTTAGTGGCCTTTCAAACCAATTTAAATTCGGTCAAAATTTGTAGAAATTTAGATATTATTTTATTGCATGTGTGTACAATTTGTTATGTGTCTAAGCTCTGTTACCACAAAAAATATATTTAATTTAGTCCTTATAGTAGATTCTATCACACGTTTGAAAGTTGTCCAACGGTCGAATAAATATGTTGTAGTTTGACCTAGATAAATATAAGACTGGGAAAATAAATATAAAAAAAATTCCGACATCTTAAAAGTAGATACCTATATTCGCAATGGAAATATTATTTTAAAAATCGGGATTATTTAATTTGATACAACTGAATAAAATGGCTCTAGTCGATCTATTTAAAAAAAACATCAACCAAATATACGAGTTGGGCAACTGCCAGTGCAGTACTGCATCCGTCGTGATCCGAATAAAGCTGTACGTATGTATATTATATCATGTGCATGCTTAAAAAAAGGCCTCTGAATCATATAATAATTTCTTCAATTTTACTATTCATAAGCCTAAAATATTACGTAGTTATAGACTATATATAAAATATTGAAGTGCGTAGGCCTACAGTTGATAGTCGCATAGACTCCGTTATCTACGTATATGATATATGCCGCCATTTTGGGTCAAGGTCAAGATAAATTACAGTCAATACAAATGAATAACTACATCGATAGATTATTAAATGTAATTTCTATTAACTGATTTCAATGTTAGGTGGTCTATGTTTGTTGTCTTTTTCAGTATATTGTCCACATTGATTAAACTATCATTATTAAAATCATTTTGATTCTTCTATATTTGCACGTACTTTTTTACAACTCTGAACCCGGAAGCGAGGTATTCTGGGAAGGGTATTTTAAAGATGGCGGGCGTTTTGGAATTTATTCGTGGAGTGCATGAGAAATGTTCAATATACAGCTACTTGGATTACACAAACAGAGAAAGATAGATTATACCAGTTAAATTGAGAGGTTTTATTTGAAAGTAAGTTTTTTCTTATATCCCCGACTGCTGATATACACGTATACTGAGACTACAAATTCAGCGATATGAAAAGAACTTACAATACAATGTAATAGTAGTAAAAATACTAATAAATACTATTCACACAGATGTAAAATTATTTCTGTCCTTATTTTTCTAATTTTTCACCGTAATTCTTACTTCTGTAAGACGCCAGGTTACGAAACAGTTTGCTTTTGTGAAAAAAAAAAAATTACTATCAGGTTATTACTGTACACATTTTCATTTTTACTTAATTAATAATTACTTAGACCTTTTGGACTAAAAAAAAATATGTCCTCACTACTCAACGCTGCAGGCTTTGGCACATGACATTTTTACTTTCATAGCATTGGCAACACTTTAATCTCAATCTTCTCTGATTCTAAATAGCAGAAATATAGCAAATTCTTCTGTAACACTGTAATCAACCAGAACGTAATTCCAAACTTGACGTCTCCCCCTTGGACCCCGGCTGCTATTGCTTTTCATCAAAAATCTACCTGCTGTGCATAACTAAAGTTGACTTTTGAGCGCACGACAGAGAGTCTGGAGAGGGCCAACGCCAGTCTCTGCAGGCTGGGGCCAATGTACAGTCTTTCGAATGGGACAAAAAACCAAGGTATTTTGTACACATTGAATGATAATTTAAACCTAATTTCATTTTGATTTTGGAGTATAAAAGTTGCTTTAATTGAATTTATTTTTGTTTTTTTTTTACAGACCCTATATTTGAGCACCATTCATGGCAGTCATGTCGAGGAAGTTATAAAAAGGCTGATAAGGGCTTTGTATATGGAAGCTAGATGACATTACTACTTATCATACACAACTATTTGTCACATACCGACTTGGGATTGAAACCAAGCGACTGAACTCAATAACACTCCTCAATAACACTCGTCTATGAAACCACCCAGATGGCAAAGAAATAAAGACTTTTTAATTATGTACCGAACTCATATACATGTGTATGTATCTATGGTAGCACAAAATTCACCAGAATGTAGGCCAAAGCTTTACTTTACAAGCAGTAGGCTTAAAATATTTTCCGTCTGATCTTGTAAGAGTCAATTGTTTATGAATAGTTTGCCTCAAGCAGATATCCTGTCACTGTGTCACAGTATCATATAACCGCTCTTTGGCTTGAACTGAGTTGTATCAGTGAGTTGAAAATCTACTGCAGCCAGTATATTAGACTCAAAATTCTAACGAGCTTTCGTCTAACTTCTAACTTCTGTTCATGTATTTTTTAACTTCTATTCATGTAATTTCTAACTTCTATTCATGTATTTTGTTAAATTAAGACAATGTATAATCCAACTTCTTTATTTGTTCAGTGTAAATTTTAATTCTATTCCATCTTATTTCTATTATTTAGACGAAAAACGTCTTCTTAATTTTTACACTTCTGCCTAGCAACCATCATTATGAAGTCATTTGGTGTCGCCACCGCGTGCTCATTTTTGGTGATTGCGCACCTGGTCGGGACCATTGTGTTGATATAAACGACACATTCTTGATAAAGACGAGAGTGTCCTCGTCGAAACGTTGCTTTATATTAAACTCAGTAAGAGTTATCTATAAAATTGTACCCTGTGTTAATGTAGACCAACAGTATATAAATATGAATTGGCTCAACTTGTCTTAAAAAAAATGAACAAATGCTGTTTAGCTTGTATTTGAAATAGAAAATGAAATATAATGGGGTTTAACATCCTACTATTCTACTCCGAACTTGGCTAATACGCCATACAGTGTGCTACGAAGGAAACTTTGCCCGGACAGCGGCACTACGGAACGATTAGACAGCTGTACTTGTTAGGCCCTCCATCCTGCATCACTGACAAGGAGGAACCATGCCGGAAAATCTGGATGAACTTTCTTGACCAATGCAGGGATCGAACACCCTACCGCTAGGCTAGTGAGCCAGCGTCTTACCGACCGTATTTGAAATCGTATTTGCAAACCATACACATGTACATAGATATCACGTTCAATGTTGTTTGTGGGGTTGGACGGCCGAAAGGTTAGCACGTGCGCGCTGTACCATAAGGTATGTCATTGAGTCAACTGGTGTGGTTTCGATTCCCCGGTTGTACGTGACAAGGAATAGGGTCGCCTTTCCAACCTAGTGGGTTTTCTCCGGGTCCTCCGGTTTCCTCCCATTGCTAAACACCCCTACGCGCAAGCGAATTATTGAAATAAAATTGAACCATGTTAATACCGAACCTACATGTAGTTTGTGTTGAGTGGACGTTTAACCCCATCAGACTCTCTCTCTCTCGCTCTCTCTCTCGAAGTTGTTTTCAATTTTAGCACTCCACCAAACCATTCAACTGGACTAAGAGCGAGTCATTTGTATCAACAGAATGGTCCCGATCAGGTGCTCAATCGCCAAATTGAGCGAACGGTGGCGACACCAAACGACGTCATAATGATGGTTGCTAGGTAGAAATCAAAATTCTAAATTTGTTTACCATTCATGCTTAACATGTAAAGTGACTAGACATTTTTCGCCTTAATAATAGAAATAAGATGAAACAATTAAAATTTACACTGAACAAAAAAAGAAGTTGAATTATACATTGTCTTAATTTAGAAATTACATGAATGGAAGTTAGAAATTACAAGAGTAGAAGTAAGAAATTAGACGATAGCATGTTAGAATTTTGAATCTAATATACCACCATAGTATACGGGGAAACTTTTTAAACCCTTACAAATTCTTCAAATTTTTGTGATAGATCAATAATAGCAAAAATCTGTGTTAAAATTATATTTGTAATGTGTTTAACAAATTCTATCACACATGTAATATTGGTGTAATTTAGTATATACCTTATTTCAATACTGGGGTATTATATCGTTGCCCTGACTGTTTGTTTGTCCAAATTAGTTTGTGATTGTGAAGGTGACAGTTTTTTATACGCTAACATTTTCATGTAGACGTATATTTTTGTAGCCCCTGTCCGTCCGAACGTCCATCGGTCCGTCCACAATTGTTTGTGGGACCGTAACTTCATGGATTATGGCCCCTGATTGTACTGAAAGTCATGTTTTTAGCTTGTGGACCCTATAGAGGTCAAAATTTTTATATGCCCACATTTTCATGTGGACGTATATTGTGGTAGCCCCGGTCCGTCCGGACGTCTGTACACAATTGTTTGTGGACACTCTACAGGTCACAATTCTTATCCGATTTTGACGAAACTTGAAATATAGGTTTATCTCCAAAAGATCTTGGTTGCTTTCGATATTGGCATGTATCTGACCGTAACTTCTTGGATTATGGTCCCTGATTGTACGAAAAATCAAGTTTTTAGCTTGTGGACCCTATAGAGGTCACAATTTTTATACGCCCACATTTTCATGTGGACGTATATTGTCGTAGCCCTTGTCCGTCTGGACGTCCATCCGTTTTTAGCTTGTGGTCCCTATAGAGGTCACAATTTTTATTCGATTTATAAAAAAAAAACAATGGGAATATATAACCATTACACACTAAGATCTTGGTTCCTTTTCATAATCGCGCATATCCGAACGTAACTTCCTCGATTATGGCTCCTGATTGTTCGAAAAATCGCATAATCAAGGTTGAATTCGAATTAAGGGAAAATCAAAATGAAACTGCCTGACAAAATGTGTAAAAGTATGCAATATGAAGGCATTGGATACTCAAGATTTTAACTGGCCTGCAATTTAAAAATTTAATTAAAAAATGGGAAAGTGAGGCCAAGTCTCGAATATACCTGTGCCCTCATTACCACAATGCACACATCATGTCGAAACTAGAAACTGTGATAACTTGGCTTAGAATGAAGTAATTTGAATGAAATTTTCATTTTACATGTATATTATTTATTTTTGAACAATCATAGCAAGAATGGTCAGCTCTTTATCTAAATCTTTATCTAAAGACGAGCATATGCCATACAGTGTACTATGAGGGAAATTTTGCCTGGGCAGCGGGGCTACGGCCTACTCTTATATCGAATTCCAACTGCCAAGGGATCTTTTATGTGCATGCCAATGTCTACACGGGACCTCGGTTTTTCGTCCCATAACGACTAGACTGCTGTCCGTCTGTCAGTTCCTCCGTCCTGCATCACTGACAAGGGAAACCACGCCGGAAAATCAGGATGAACTTTCTCGGCCAATACAGGGATCGAACACCCGATCTCCAGGCTAGCGAGCCAGCGTCTTACCCACTTAGCCACTTGATCCCCCCCTTTGGTGAAAGAGAGAGAGAGAGAAATGGGGTTTACCGTCCACTCGACACAAACTAGGTCATTTCGGGACTAACATATGGTTTAATTTTTTATTTACATAATTCGCTTGCGCGTAGGGGTCTTTAGCAGTGGGAGGAAACCGAAGGACCCGGAGAAAACCCACGAGGTTGGACAGGCGACCCTACTCCTTGCCACGTACAACCGGGGTTTCGAAACCACGCCATTCGACTCAATGACAGACTTTATGATACAGCGCTCGCACGCTAACCATTAAGCCATCCACCCCCCCACCCCCCCCCCTTTGTTGAAAGAAAACAGAGCTGTGGCTAGTGAAATGAAAGTTTAACGTCCTACTGTTTTGCTCTGAACTGGGCTAATGAAGATGGGCATACGCCATACAGTGTGCTATGTGGGAAATTTTGCCCGGACAGTGGCACTACGGCCTTCTCTTATATCGAATTCTAACTTCAAGGGCTCTTGTACGTGCACGCCAATGTGTACATGGGACCTCATTTTTTTGTCCCATTTTAATGACTAGACAGCTGTCTTGTCTAGCCCTCTGTCCTGCATCACTGACAAGGGAGAACCACGCCCGAAAATCTGGAGCAACTTTCTCGGCCAATGCAGGGATCGAACACCCGACCTCCAGACTAGATAGCCAGTGTCTTACCGACTCAACCAACGTGATCCCCGTTGTGGCTACAATTCCTGGATTTGAAGGTCAGGTATGATATGAAACGAATATTTTGAACCGGTTCACCAATGCAACCAATCCGTGACGGGTTAACTGATAGAGGGTTACATCCTTGATATAAATATACTTGTCGCGGGTTTTAAAAATAGAAATATATATATAAAGGTAGCTCAAAATTCATCTCTACATGTACAGAGGCCAAGGGGGGATCATGTGGCTAAGTGGGTAAGACGCTGACTCGCTAGCCTTGAGGTCGGGTGTTCGATCCCTGCATTGGCCGAGAAAGTTCATCCTGATTTTCCGGTGTGGTTTCCCATTGTCAGTGATGCAGGACGGAGGGCCTGACGAAGACAGCTGTCTAGTCGTTTGGATGGGACAAAAAAAAAACAAGGTCCAGTGTACACATTGGCGTGCACATAAAAGATCCCCTGGCAGTTGGAATTCGATACAAGAGTAGGCCATAGCGCTGCTGCCCGGGCAAAATTATCTCATAGCACACTGTATGGCGTAACCTTTTGCGTCTCTTCAAAATATTTCAAATCTTTTGTCATGGATCAACCATTGCAAATATCCGTGTTACAATTATATTTGAAATGTGTTAAACCAATTCTGCAACACATGTAATATTGGTGTAGTATATATCTTTGTTTATACACCCACATATCAATTTTGGCCCTGTTTGTCCGTACACTGGGTGTGAAATGTGAATCATTCCGATTGTGAGAGGACAAGCATTATCAATATACAGCTTTTCAGGACTTTGCTTTCCTTGGTTAATTCTCCCTAGTCTAGTCGTTTGGATGGTACGAATGATCGAGGTCCTGTGCACACATTGGTGTGCACGTGAAAGATCCCTTGGCAGTTTGAATTCGATATAAGAGTAGGCTTTAGCGCCGCTGTCTGGATAAAATTCCATAATAGGACACTGAATAGCATATTTCCATGTCATTAGCCCTGTCGGAATAGGACATTAAACCCATTTCATTTCACTCATTCCAAAGTTAACTTCTATTCCATCAATACCTTGAGCAAATAAGATAGAGGCTATAGGTTTTGGCCCAATTTGGTCAATATCCCAGTTTTTTCTTTCTTATATGCATATCAACACTTTCATAGCGCTAATGTAGACCTTTTTCTTGAACATTTTCCCGTGTCAGTGATGCCGGACAGAGGACCTGACATGGATGGCTGACTAGTCATACGGAAGGGACAAAAAAACCAAGGTACAGTGTAAACTCAAGTGTGTGTGTGTGTGAAAGATCCCTTGGCAGTTGGAATTTTATATAAGAGTACGCCATAGCTCTGCACACTGTGTGGCATATGCCCGTCTTCATTTCTCAAACAGCTGTGGATAAAAACTGTTAATATTTAAATGTGTATTTTGTATTTTATAACATTATATTTTTGTCTTTTAAATAAAGTATATGTATACATACTTGTAGTATATTTTGTCATATAATTCTGCTAGATTTTTAACTTTTCTGTGCAATACATTTAGAATTCTGACTGGTTATGGGTAGATAGAGAGCAATGGGGTAAAACATCCAATAGACATAAACTGTCCTTTGGGACTAAGTGATTCAATTCAAGTTGAATAATTCATCCGCACCAGGAATCTTTAGTAGTAGGAGGACCCAGAGAAAACCCATGTTCAAGTTGGGTGTGGAAACAAACCACTTGACTCAATGACAGACCTTATGATCTAAAGCGCACACGTTGGACCACTCAATTTTTAGCCTCACCCACGGGTCAGGAAAATTTGATTATTGGTTGAATGTACTTCCCATTTACTGCCGCAAATAATGAATAATTTTGAAGGTTTTAATGCTCATCAAAATTTGACTTTAGAATTGCATCCGTAAATGATGTTAATTTAATGTTAGATTTACGGTATAATGATCGGTTAGATATCCATCATTTTGCTCATCCTTTTAACGACAATTTAACGTCAGGAAATGACGTTAATCTAGCGTAAAGTTTACGTCATTTTTACGTTATATTTACATCATTTTCTGACGTAAATCTAACGTAAAGTTTACGTCATTTTCTGACGTAAATCTAACGAAAATGACGTAAACTTTACGCAAATTTTACGTTAGATTTACGTCAGAAAATGACGTAAAGTTTACGTTAGATTTACGTCAGAAAATGACGTAAATATAACGTAAAAATGACGTAAAGTTTACGTTAGATTAACGTCATTTCCTGACGTAAAATTATCGTTAAAAAGATGAGCAAAATGATGGTAAACTGACTGACCATTTTTACGTAAATGTAACGTAAAATTAACATCATATTGTTATGTGGGAGAATGTAGCTGAACATTTCTACAAGTTCCATCAATACGTTTCCAACATATCGTTGGTGTTGCCCAGTCGTTCGGGTGAGACGAAAACCAAATCAACCCGTGTACACATTGGCTTGTACCTAATAGAACCCTTGACGGTTCGAATTCGACAAATAGTAGGCTGTGAGGTGAAAAATACTTAAAGGATTTAAAACGCTTTGATATAGGTCAAAACAAAGTATCAAATGTGGTTAATCTAATGGGTTATTTCAAATAGTGATGGAGCACGATATTGATTGTTGACTTCAAAATATAACTGCAGAACAGAAGGACGTTAAACCCCATTTCATTTCATTTCAAAATATAACTGATATTGTAAGTCCGGCGGAATGTTTATATCTATATATTATTTAGCTCTCTCATCCTTTTTTAGTCTTAGAAATTTAGGACGTGTCAAAAATGTTATACACCTTGGACGGAGGTTCCCTTGATCTTTGGACAAAACCATTAGGTAAATCCGGCACTGCACAGCATCATTTTTTAAAATTAATTCTCCAGTTTGTTACAATAAAGGTTTTGTCAAGGAATTTGTCGACGAACCGATGCAAAATATGGAGGCACCTATTGAAAAGGGGTTTAGTGAGAACGTAAATTGTTTATTTTATTAATTATAATAAAAATCAAGATGATGTACCATCTACCTGCTAAGGAATGTAATCCGTTTTGATCAGTTTCACTGCCACTGCCTTCGATTATCAGATCTTCATCATCAGTTACGTCCCTTGAAAAAGCGGGATTGGTCCCCTGGTGGTGCGTGTTTTGGGGGCGCCAATTCTTATTCAATCTGAAATCTAAATGTGAAAGTATTAGATATATGTTTTACATGTAAAGACTTTTCGCTAAGGTTACTGTAGAGTTGCTGGCAATAGCCATGTTCGGTACTAAAGAATCATTCGAATTTATGCTTAAATATACTAACCGAACATTTTATTTTGAATTCCTACCACACAAAATGAATGTGATTAATGTTTCATTTGCAAGAGACATGGACGGCACAAAGCGCTTTTAATACTTTTTGAAAGTCACACCTAACCCTTTGGATACGTTATTCGCTATATTGAAGACAATAATAAGATACCATATGGTTTATAAAGTCTGATCTATACCACGGAGCGTATGAAATGTTGTACGAGAGCATCTTCGTCTATATAGGTTACAAATAACCTTGATATTTACTCGATAAATACAGTTATGTTATGCCATCCAATCGTAGGCTCTAGTTTTGTGTCAACTAGTTCTGATTGGCTGATAACATCTATGTAATCTTAATCCGCGAGCACGTGGCTCCCATAAACCGATATGTAGTAGAGTGTGGAATTTTACGCACAAATACCGAGGTTTGCTGTGCTGGCACGCAAAGATATATTGAATGCCAACAAATAGTAATACATTATATCTGCTATTCCTATCTTGAATATGTCCAAACGCTGATGAGAAAGGTAAACATAAAAAATATGAAAACAGAAATGAAACGACAAATGTTGGAAGTGGATAGGCCAATGCAACTCGAAGTAGATCTCTTCAGACTTGCGACCTGAATTAATAACAACAAAGATTCCAGACTACATGAACTGTTCTACTTCTTGCCATCGTAACATATATAAGATCCTTATTCACACGGTCCTTACCAATTTAATGCAATTTCTTTTTTCGTGTCCACTAAAATGCAAAGTAATTAGAGAATTTAGGAAGGCAAGCATATTTCATTGTTTATAACTTATCGATTATACTTTTAGAAGCACTTTTATGAAACACATTAAGTGTGTTGGATATTACCAAACTAGTGACGAACCTTGACTTTGACTCCGCGGGGAAATACAAATGAGCTGGTTAACCAATTGCCTGTTAAACATCTGTCTTATAGCGTACTATGTTTTGAAGTGTACGAGAATAATTTCAAACAAAGATAATATTGGCTCTTCTATCGTTACGTAACAATTCTAAACATCGAATATGCTACTTATGTGAATCTACATATGCATTACATTGATAATAGCCTACGTCTTTGTTAATTTACAAAACATATAAATGTAAAAGATAATTTTGTGTGTGTGTGTGTGTGTGTGTGTGTGGTGTGTGTGTGTGGTTGTAGGGGTGGGGTATATAATAAAATTAAGTAGAATATGTATAGTACTTGTGACAGATCGTCTAGGTAAGTTTCTTCTTTTATTTAAAAAAAATAGCTTTGGTTTAATTACTTTAAATAATTTAGCGTGTTTGTATTCTGTTTCTTGAAAGTAGCAAAGATATATAAATAGTCTTCAATATGCATTTCGATTATGTGTAGCCACCAGAATTTGATGTTTGAATAGTTATGATCAACGGGCTTCTAAATTTAATAAAAGTCGAGATCGATAGGTTAAAAGGACTATTTTGATTTTGCTTCTTTATTATAGTACACTTTATGCAAGTGAAACACTGCCGGCAAACACATGTCATCTGTTACTTACATGCACTAAAGACAATGAAAACGTGCACACTGTCATGTTCCTACACAATCAGAAATAAATAAATAACTTGGGCGAACTATGGACTACCTATTTATAGTGTAAATTGTCACTGTATATATAATGAATCATATTCCCTTTTGGTGAATGTAACAGAATGCTTCAATAAGAAATGAATTTTCTCAATATTGCAAGTTTTGGTTTTTTTTAAATACAAAATTAAAAATAAAATTGAGTGTTAAGAAAAGCACATCCTGTCTAGTGAACGACACTAGCCGATACTTATAACTTACCCCACTTATCATTCTATATTTTTTCCGATCACAACGACCTATACAGATGATGAAACATTGTACATGGTTTCATGATCATCTAAATTCTTCGTAAGACAGTTTACCTGATGTTTTACGATACTGAGGAAAACGCGATATAGTGAGCTAAAACATCAACAGTTAATGTAAATTAAGCTTTTCATTAGGAAATAAGATGATAAATAAAGTCGTACAGAAAAAATCTAATTATTCAGTGTTTCACTAGTGGAATGAGATTTAATTTTTTTTTTTTAAAAAACAACAATTGTCTTCGGTAATTAATTGCAACAGGTGTATTAAACAAAGTGTCATATACTTACCTATAGATTTCCCTAGAACAATTCCAGGAAATGGACGACTTGCTGTAACTGTACCAAAAAGAAAGAGCAACATGCTCATATGCACGGACCACTTCACGTGCATAGCCATAGAAACTTCATGCGCATCGGATAGGGATGTTTAGAACATCCACACATGTGGTACCGTTAACGATCTCTGGAGGTAATCGCGTGTCATGATAAAAAGTGCACAATGAATACTAGAACTGCAGTCAGTTCGTGTGTATGTATAGTCTTATCTTTTAGACAGTTTTCACTGTAAGATATATCAGGGTGTAAATTACCCAAGCTAAATAACAGAGCTGTAAGAAGTGAGTCACATATTATGTTTGGACGAGACCCGAACATGGCACATAGGCTGGAGTAAACGTCAACCACCATCCAATAAGAAAGCCACATTGTTGATATTACATAAACCTTTACCAATCAGTTTGATTGTTTACAGTATTAACCAATAGATGTTCACAAAACACGTGCTTTTCTCTTCACCTTAATTCACTCTTGGGTAATTTCTATCTTTCTAGTGGCCAGTAACATCACTTTTTTTTACCGTGAAACTCAACTTCCCACGATCCATCGATCTGAAACAGTTTATTTAATATATTTGCTAAAAGACTACTTCCATTCGTTTCGATTACATATCAGCAGCCCACGCATTAACGAAATTTCATGTAAATAGTATGAACAATAAAATCTAATGACTTTTTCCTATAGAGATCAAATTTACTTCTTTCTGTCATCTTAGTAAACAGTTGCTCACGATTGTATAATTATTTAGCATTAAGAGAGTTTTTATCTTGATTCTAAATTACAAATTAACAGATCAATTTTATTTTCTGATTTCAAAGTTTCTTTCATGACTATAATCTTGATCTTTCGGAGAAGGTTTCGTCTACATCACGAAAGCCAAATGGGAATTTGATTGTATTGAATGTTTTGTTGGGACTTATCATTGGATTTGCATTGATATTACGTAGTTAACGTTCAGTGAACCATAAAACAAATTTAATTTCACTACGGAAGTTGTAATGTGGGCACGAATATTATTAATGTAACATAAATCGCTGATTTTTATTGATAATTAGTTGAAACCATTCCCAACTCTTTTATTGTTTTGTATCTCGTCGTAGACCCTATCGGCTCGTCTCGATTCCTTTTTGATTATAGGGAATCGTTGATTAGTACAGCAGCTAACTGCATTAAACAGGATAATTGTTCAAATGTGGTTACAAGTATCAAAATTGGCACAAATACTCCCTGGGCCGATTAGCCACCCGAAAATCCAGGATGGCGGCCCTTTTCAAGATGGTCGACTTTCAGGAAACGAAATATCATTTTTTGCGATACATTCACACTAAATTCTACTATTTTATTGTACAACTTTTGTACAATTCACATTTTGCATACAAGGCAGGGACCATAACCTAAGAAGTTGCGGTGCTATGCAGACCAAAATCAAACTGCCCAAGATCGTTTGATCCTCAACATATATGTTAAGTTTCATCTAAATCAGGCTAACAATTGAGGGCTCTAGATGGCCCACAGGCCGTGTACATAATTCACATTTTGCGTTAAAGGCAAGGGTCATAACCCAAGAAGTTACGATCTGATGTAGACCACAATCGATATTTTTAATCATTAATATATACCATAAGTTTCATTTGAATCGGACCAACAATTGTGGACGACTCAGGAGGTCAACATCCTTTGTAAATATTTCACAATTATTCGTAAAAGCTAGGGTGGGGGGCGGGATCTTCACCATGGAAGTTGCTGTCCGATACAAACCTCTCCAACGGGATTTGTGGAACTTTAACATACACTTTAAAATTAATTAAAATCGGGTAAAAACTGGGACCTCTAGATTGTTCGCAAACAAATGTGAACGAACGTCCGGTCATTGAGGCGTTTAGTCGTCCTGACTTACGGATGTGGGCGACAACATAAGACGCCCACGGGAAAATGTGGACATATAAAAAATCCTCTCAATCTGTCCAGTGGAAAACGACGGCCATTTTGAAAATTCAAGTGGCTAAAGGGATTTATTTTAAACATACATTATGCAAGAACTAAATCTTATTATTGCAAGTCTTTATTTAGGCTTCAGATGTCATAGAAATTATAAATTAGATCTTTATTTACACAACAAGCACAAAATCAACTCTGTAGATCCACGGATCATTGTTACGGTTGATTTGAAGAAATGGGAAGTGGCGAGAAATGGGAAGTGGCGAATACAAAAGGGTTTTCTTACATACAACTGACTGAAGTAGAGAGCGATAACAGATATGCGGTCGATTATCAGCTCACTGAGACAAAAAGTTGTTATATAAGACTGTCAGAAGAAATCTGTTCGGATCTGACAATTCATAAAAAGAATTGACTGTCACTAGGTAAGAGAAAGCGAGAAAAATGGATCTGTGGATCTATTTATTAAAAATCAATTGGTTTTTTTTTTGCCAAACAGAGACTGTTTTACGGATGGGACAAAAAATGATCACAGATTGCCCATATCTCGGTTATTTTTCATAACGGATCGTCTTCGGGTTTTCATTTTAGGATTCTTTGGACGAATCCCATGCTCTGACTGACGGTTTTTCGAAAGTTTTCTTCATCATTTTTTCTACTTTCAAGATGTTTATCTCCGTCACTATTTGAGGTATCAAGTTGAAACTTGGTAGAAATAAGGAACACATCGATGCCTTCAAAATGACATATTCAAAAATTTTGTGACGGCTTCCGGAAATTACCGAGCACTTCCGATTTTTCCCGAACATAAATGGGACAAAAAATGATCACAAATTTTAAGCCATAATTATAGTTTATTCCGGTAGCCCTATAAATAAACTAAAGTCATATTATTCTTTTACAATTACTTCTGTCTCCGCCACGTGGATGACAAATCGCAATTTGGTTTGCGCTCTAAAACGGAAATTAGGTGATTATATTAATTCTCATGCTTGCAATAAAAGTTCATTGAAAAATTATCTCTGTGGATTTCTGTGTAGCCTACTTCTGGTCAGATTTGAACAAAATGTGAAATTCGCTTTTATTCAGCAATTTCGGCAGCTGCAAACCAGACAAATGTATTTATATACTAGAGTAAAACAAATACTGGCCAGGTACGCGAACTCCTAACGTGGGAACTGGGAAGTGGTATGAGGTGTTTAGGAAAGAGTAAACGTATGCTACCTCGTACAGAACGCCGACCACTACTTATAATTAGACGTGGATTTCAGAAGCCGGAGCTACTAACCACAAATTAGAAAGGGGCTTAAAATGTGGCCTGAAATTCAATCTGGATTATAGGCTACATGTTTGCAATTTTTGTTGTTGATGGGAAAGGAATAAAGATCGCCTTCATATAGTCGCACGCAGAATTGCTATTTACAGTATAATCTACGTGGTGTTGCCTGTATAGAATTATAATTCGCATGACTTTGTAATAATATACCATTAAGAATATGCTTGTCTCGGGTTTTAGATAAATATACTCTTCAAAAAAAGTAGGGGATATTGAAATGCAAATACCTATGCAGGTTGCGATATGATAAATAGTCATGGACATTAAAATTTGACATGCTTTGAGAGTATGTTCACAGATGAAGAACTTATCGCCCCAACAGAACCACTGAGCTGCACATGCGACACGCAATAGCGCCATACACGCGGGACGGGTTTATTGTCAAATTTGACACTTTAAGGAAGGGATGATAAAAACTGCCGCGTGCTGGTTTATCTATCCATGTTTGCTTTCCTATCGGTTCTTGCATAATATTTACTGTTTAACGTATCTTTGCTTTAGTGTGTTACGTTTAATTTGATCAGGAGACGTGTTCGTCGACGTCAACGTCAACCGACAACACTGCAAGAATTGGCCGTGTCACTACAAGAGGAGTGGGTCAGATTGCCCCAAATCGTGATTGGACGGTTGAATTGGAGCATGCCACGACGAATTGTGGAATGTCAGAGGATTGGTAGAGCAATTACTCATTATTAAGACAAATATCAAAAACGTCCATTTTCACTTTTGACAGTGTATCTCTTTGCGGGTGAAATGGGGCCGTCAGATAAGCCGCCCATATGAACTGTTTATGTTCATTGGCCTGTCATTAACATACACTGGTTACCTCTAAAAAAAACAGCAGTGCATTTCCGCAGTTTTGTATTGTTTCTGAATATTTCCTCCTTTTTTTGAAGAGTATATATTGACATATTTCTATTGTAGCACAATATTCATCAGTAAATAGACCAAAGATTACTGAACAAGCTATAGGCCTAAACTGTTTTCTCTCTGGACTAGTTCGTCGTGTTGCTATTTGTAATCCATATAGTTGGGGTGACGCACCATATATCAATATCTCCAAATATCTCGACAATTACACCACAATATTTATATTTACACCAAGCCTGAAATCAGTTTCGTACATTTATAGTCACTAAATAAACGGTCATGTTGTACTTAATAAGCTATGACCATTTAACCATCCATAAATAATACACTGGATAATCAATTTAGAAACACGCACGTTAGGCAACTCAACAACTGTTTTAAGAACCTTGTAAAAGCAAAATGAAACTACTGCTAGTATCATGTTCTTGCCTAACGCAAGTGTTTCAGAGATATTATTTGTACTAAATCAAAAGATGCCGCTACTAACGGTTACAGTTAATGATAAAGCAATTCAAAAAATAAAACGAACGTAATTTAAAAAGCTGCTGTAATAACCAAAAAGCGAAATATTACTGCTATTCAGAATCGCCAACAATAGATTTTTTACGGCTGTAATATACTATTCAAAAAAAGTAGGGGATATTTGATTTTTAAGTGTTATTAAAGTCACCTAATGAAACTGACGAAGAAACAAATGACAAAATGAAATGAAGTTCACATTCATCGATTTATTCCAAATGATCGTTAGACTAAGTAAGGCACAGACTGGCCATTATAAGGGTAAAATGATACCCGGGGTCAAACAGCAAAGTTACCACAGCATCACATACAAGTCAGTAACGGGTAAATCCCCCTCTGTTTGCCAAACAAGCATTGATCCGACGTGGCATACTCCTAATGAGACGTCTAAGGTCATTTTGGTCCAGATTGTCCCATTCCTGTTGCAACGCAGCAGCAAGTTCTTGGACATTGGCAGGACGTTGTTGACGTTGACGTAACCTCTGTCCAAGCAGGTCCCAGACATGCTCGATGGGGGAGAGGTCGGGACTCAGTGCTGACCAAGGTAATGTGGTGATGTTCTTTTGTTGGAGGTAACCTGTAACGATCCTGGCCCTGTGACATCTTGCGTTGTCATCCTGGAAGATGAAACGGCGGCCATGACGTCGTGCGAACGGCACAA